TCGAACTTAATTGATTTGTTGATCAAGTTCAAGACAAGTTGAACAGGAATTTGAGAAACTTGACTTCATAGGGGTATTTCTTTTGGGAAAATGATCCAGGGATAATTTTTTTTTATCATATTTTAGTACAATTTTATGTGTTATTTAAATAATTGATTCTTTTTATTCATTTAAAACTTATAATATTAACTATATATATACATTTAATGACATAGAGAAATTGTATAAAAAAGTTATATAAAAAATCTGTCGTTATATCACTGCTCTTTCTTTTATTTTCTAAATCGCCCTCCACTTAAAATTTTAAATTTAAGATCTCATCGTTAACATCCTAAGCTCTCATTTGTTGAAACATTATTAAGGGGATTCAAACTCATTATTAAAACATGCACCATATGCAAACTTAAAGACCTATCATGAATTGAATATAAGGTATAAAGTATATGATTAAGCTTTAAAAGTGACTAATAATCCACATGCATAAGCTGTTGCTGCGGACCAATATCAAGAAAAAGAAGAAAGGTGAGCCATCTTTCTTGAATTTACTATGATTAACAGAAAAAATAAAAAAAGAGCCAACGTTCACTTTGAATAACAGAATTCCTTTTTGTTAATTTCTATCCATATTAGACTATTCAATTCAAATATCCTAATTTAAAATTTCACTAAAGAATATACCCACTAAAAATGAAAAAGTATGCACAATTTAAAATGAAGTACTATAGACATAATTAAACCATAAAAGTGGAGTCTTTTTGCCTTCATAAAATTTGACATTATTCACTTAATTGCTATATATATACAGTTATCCTTTTGTCCAGAAGCTTTTGCAGACTTTCTTCATTTACAATTAATTGTCCTCATGCTGCCTATGCTTTTCCTCCACCACTAGATGCCATTTGCTTCCAGCAACTTTCATCCCTTAAGTAACCATTTTAATTTTATATATAGAACATAGAAGAAGAGCTAGGGATGTTGGAGAGGAATTTTTTTTTTAATTGAGAAAGAAAATTGTTATAAAAATATGAGTACAAAAGATAATTTTACCCATTACAAGATCAGTTTAAAAATAATTTTACTCTCAATAATAGATATTTTTTTATTTAAATTTGTTACAGAATGGTAATCATTTTTGTCTATTTTTAAGGGTGATAAATATTTTTTTTTATTTTAACTTTATAATTATCTCCCAACTTTAATTATTCATCTTTTAACGAAAATAAATAAATTTATTTATTTTTTAAGAGTAAAATAAGTAAAAATAAAATTTGTCCCATTATTTTAAAATGGAGGGAGTATAAAAAGGATAATGTTATAAAAATAATTTTTTTATACTACATTTTTATATAACTTTCATGTATTATTAAATGAATTTATGCATTTAATATCATGAGTTTTATATGAATTAAAAAAATTAATCATTTAAATAATAAATTAAATTGTATAAAAAGATGATACAAAAAAATTATTTCTAAATCATCTCCTATAAAAAAAAATTGAGATGAAAAGAGATGCCATTACAAATGGGATGGGACGTCGGAGAGATTTTTTTTTTTTTTTTTTTTGGTACATTCGGAGAATAATTTATCCAATCGTTTAAATGCCGTATAGAATAAATTTAATAAATAATTTAATAACTATTTAGTATTTAGTCAATTTCATTCCAACATGAAAACTTAATTTTCTTTCTAAATGGTTTACAAACCATCATTTCCGTACCATTTTAACCTATCCATCTAGCCATCGTTCATTTTTGTTAACAGAATACGATGTCATAATTAAGACACATGGAACCAAATTGGCACATGTGGCAGAAAATAACAGGAAAATTGTCTTTTAACTTTTAAATTTTGAAAAATGTTTTAATTTTGAATTAGGTAGAAGAAAATCAAACGCAATTATTTTCCTCTGCTTCTCCTTTCTCTTTTAAGGTCTGAGATCTTATTACTTTTTCTTCTTAATTAGTTTTAATTTAATTAATTACTAGTAAATAATTATTACTCCCTCCATTTAACTTTAATAGATTTACTTTTTTATTTGAAACATTCAAATTTAGTTGTCTACCTTTTTTTAAGATGTTATTTAATATATTTATTTTGATTCTATTCTTATTTTAAAAAGATAATTAGAACATATATTAAAAAAAATCTTATTTAAGTAATAGTTAATTAGAGATAAATATAACATTTTATCAATAAATTATTACATATCTATTTTATTAAATAAAAAACTAAATTTACTAAAAATGAACGAAAAGAGTAGTTTTAAGTTTTTTTTTTTCTAATAATCCCTAAACCCTAATTCTAGTAAATTACTGTCCAAGAAAAATAGTTTTTTTATTTAAAATTTATTCTAGATTAATTTTTATTTTTTAGAGTATATTTGAAGGGAATAAATATTTTTTTTCTACTTTAACTTTATTATCATCCCTTGATTTTAATTATCAATCTTATCATAAAAAGTCTTTCTTTATTCTTATATTTTTTTAAAGGGTAATATAGGTAAAAATATACTCTCTCGAATCTAATTTAATTATTTTACTTTATCTATTCATGATTATCGAAAAATTTGAAGTTAGTGAGATTAACTCCAAAGACAGTGTAATGTTTGCAACAAATAAAGTGAGGAAATGGATGACACACAATGTCGACATTGATAAAGAAAGGTAAGGATACCTTACCACTCATTTTCTCAATTTTATGACATTCCATTTAAAGATTCAATTTCAGAGGACCACGCACTCTCCTTTTACTGATGATACCCACCCTCCAGATTCTACCACTAAAATCTAGTTTGGGGCATGTTTTTCAAAACCTAATCTCTTAGAGGTCCGTTTAGTGTATATATATATATATATATATATATATATATATATATATTAGAAAAAGCAGTTTTATAATATCTAACTCATGATTATTAATAGAGGAGGATCGCTTTACATTTAGCAAGATCTACTTTCATCAGTAAGTTTACGTCTTGTAGTTTGTGTTTGGTATAGATATTAATCTTTATTTATAAATTTCTAAAACTGTAGCTCAAAATTATAGGGATCGATATTTTTTCCTAGTTATATGGAATAAAATCATCTTAAAATGACTAAAAGAAGGCAGCATAAGAACCATGGATTTGTGAAAGTGACTTTGAATTGATCCATTTCTAGGATTCACATCAAAGGAGCATTGAAGAATGATAGCATGCTTTAATAAAGCCGAAAGAGACTTGTGAATCAGATGTGCTTCCCACTTCTTTGGAATACAACTATTCAGGTATTTCTTTCCAAATTTACTTTCATTTTTTGAGGTTTTTATTTTTTTTATCTTTCTTTTTCTTCCCTCCAGTCCTTTTCCTAGCTTTGTGGCAGCTATTAATTACTTCCAAATTCCAACCATCACAACTTGTGATTTAAAATAAAAGGAGTAAATACAAGACATCAACTAAGTTACGTACTAAGGTTGCGTTTTGTTTGGGATAACGACCATTTCTTACTCAAATAAAAAACAAAAAGAAAGATCAAAATGAGAACTTCTTTAAAGTTAATTAGGTACGTATATTGTTTTGTCTAAGAATAGTATATATAGTAGGGCTTAGCACAAGTTCGTTATTTTTATTAACAGCACAATATCATGTGGTGAAATTTATTTTAGAGAATAAGATTAATATCAAGATTTGAAGTTTTAAGTATTTAGGTTAAGAGATTTAGATACATATTAACAAAAGAAAAAATAAAGATATGAAGCTTTCCAAATAATATTGAAAATATAATTAATTTTAATAAGCTTTTTTTTTCTTTCAAAAAGTGAAGAAATTTTATTAAAGGGCGTAAAAGGGGTATTTAAACCCATTAACAATGAAGAATCGATCCATATCATAGTAAGGCAATAGCTACAATTTAACCCCAGCCTTTCCTTTCTATCATTTGTTGAACATTGTCTCCTTTCTGGCAATTCAAGTAGTTCAAACCAATACAAACCAAACTATAGCCCAACTCAATTTAATAAGTTAATTAAGATTTTTTTTTTTTTTTAGTTTATCTATCATATGCCAAGTAATTATTAACTATCAATCTATTATTATTGTTAATCTTTTATCAATCCATTATAAATTAAAAATCACCACTTTGTTTTTTTAATTTAAAATTTTATTTCTTTTTAAGATAAAAGGTCATAATCATTACTTGAATAATTATTACAC